GCCCAGGGATGCTTTCACTTTTCCAGACAGACGAAAGAGTTGGCCTTGGGAGAAGTGACTGCTTGCAGTATAGACATACCCACAATGGTGTTAGGTTGGTAGGCATCAACAGGGAATACAACACTGAAATACCGATATTTGCACTAATTTAGAGACTTCAGAGTTGCACTGTCTTACTAAGCATTAATTCTTCCTAGCCACAAATATTTGTAACTATTACTTTAAAATAAGTGTACAACACAGCTAACCTCTGGTGTATCTTTGTTTTAATGTTCATTAAAGTTTTTGTGTACTCCTGGATGATGGGACAGAGTGCACTCTCAGCAAGGTAGGAGGAATGGGTGAGAAAGTAGAGGGCAGGGCTGCTGTTTAGGGAGACCTTAACAAGCTGGAGAAATTCATGGAGTCCAACAAAGGCAAATACAGCATCTTGCTATAGGAGTGGAATAACCTTGTACGACAGTGCAGAACTGGGGACTGATTGAGTAGGAAAAAGCTTTTCAGGAAAGGTCCTGGCAGCCCAGGTGGACAGTAAGTTCAGCATGAATTGGCAAAGGCAAGAATTTAGCTAGCAAGTCCAGGAAGGTGTTCATTTGCATCCATTTAGCATCTTTGAGGACACACCTAGAATGATGTATCAAATTTTTAGCTTCTCGGTGTACAAAAAGACATGGACATACTGGATTGAGTCTAGTGCAGGACCACAAGGTGGATGGGGGCTGGAACACCTGAAGTGATGAAATCTCCGTCCACAGAGATGTTCAAAACATGACTGGACGAGATCCTGACAACCTGCTCTATTGGACCTGCTTTGAACAGGAGGTTGGACCATTTGGCCTCCAGAGGGTCTTTCCAGCATACACCCTCCTGTGATTCTTATACAACAGTTACGTGTCTAATTTACTATTTTCAATAACACTTTCTCCGTTAAATTATCTGTTGAATCTCATGAGTTACAGGAAAATCAATTTGGGCACAAATTTTATAATAACTTCATACGGTTGTTGAAGGATGATTTAGCTGCATATATTAACATCCTGTGCCTATTCTATTCACTTAAAAGTAGGAAGCCTCTTAAAAACCTGAAGTACAGGACCACAAAAATAATGTTGATCTTTGCTTAAACTGAGGAAAATACTGTTTTCTAATCTATTTAATTATTGCATTCAGATTGACTCCACTGGTTACTATATCTTTACTTACAATTAGATAACTTTGTTTGCTTGAAGAGTTTCAAAACAGATGTAGAACAACAGTGACTCAGAAGACATTATCTGATGAATGGTAATTGAGTTGAGAATGACAAAAATGCAAAACTAAATTTAAATTCATAGTGGATGATGTTTAAAAAATGGCAATGTGGTGATAAATTATGAGCCTTTACAGAGAAGTTAAGAAATGGAAATGACTAATTTTGCAGTTTAAAAAAAAAAAAAATTCAAATCCCTTTCCCATCCACTCACTTTAGCCCCCAAGGGAAAAACAAAACAAAACAAAACAAAACAAAAAAAAAAAAACCACCAGACACAAAGAAAGCTAAAAAACATTCAAATTGGAGTAAAGAAAAGTAACAACCCAGAGATATTGCCAAAAAGACTTTCACAGCTGTGGCTCTCTCCAGAGTCTGTAGTGCAGGATGATTTCCTGTAGAGAGTAGAAGCTGTTGTTGGAAGAATGAACTGAAAGAGGGTCTGTGGACCAAATCCAGTTCTTTTCCCAAAAAAGACATATTTTGATTTAGTCCTAGATCTGATGGGTCAACATCCCAGATGTGAATTGGGTGGATTTATGCTCTGGTCAGATAAAGGAAAACCTCTGTAAAGCAGAACTATATGATTTGATAATTAATCCGTTCTGTAAGTGTTGCAAAGTTGAAATTAATACTGTAGATTTTAAAGGGCATTGATAATTTAATTGAAGAACAGAGGAAATACAGTAAAGAGAATGGAACTAAACCTTTCCTGCAATTCAACTGACAGGAGATGAGCATGTTTATTAGATTAAACCTATACACATGTGGATGTGTGTTTGTCAGTAAGAAAGGGAACAGTGATTTTGACAAGTTGGAGGGAACAAATATTATAGAGTTATATCAAAATGTCAAATTAATTTTAAATCTCTGGCAGCCCATAATCTGTGTTAAAGACTGAAGTATGAATTAATGTTGAAAAGTAACATATCAAAATGTTCCAGGTGACTACAAAAGTTGGAGCTTTCCCATGAACATTTAGTAACAATTTTAAAGAAAAAAATAAATGAATGTTTTTTTTCATATAGCATGCACTCATCTGTCAGAGTTCAGTAAATAGTATACTTGTTAACAACAAAAGTAGTAATAATCAATGTCACTTCTATGAGTTAAGTATACAGATCATGAATCTAGTAGAATCACTGCACTATCTAGCTGCATGGTTTGAACATGTTTCAACAACTGTCTGAAGGGTTTTGCCCACTACAAAAATCTTCCTGTTTCGCAATTTGCATAAGTGTATTACTATTATTTCAGGGTAGATCAAAAGGGAGGAGAGAAGTCATCTTGTTAGGAATCTTGACATTATTTCACTGTATCCCTCCCTTGGATTTTGAAAACTGAGCCTTTTTCTAGTGCTCCGCTTTCAAAAGTTTCAGTGATGGTAATATTTTGTTAAATAAAATTTATATCAAAATTCAAAATTCTTTTATGATTAACTGGTTTATATTATTTTTCTGTTTATGACTATACTTGATAGAAGGGTAATTAAATGTTATAATAAACTATGAAATGCTGGATAATATTTATGAAAACACAAAACTGTAACATGTCAGTGCATGGGTTTTGTGAGGGTTTAAAGGGATTAGTTTAATACACGTACCTTCAATGCCTCAGCATGTGAAAGAGTCTAAACATTGGTGCTGTATTTACTCTCTAAGCAAAAACATTTACAGCTACTGAACACATGAACGTTATTTAAACAAAAGAGAAACTGAAGCATTCCTGAAACAATAGATATAAAATCAAGTCTTATTCTACCCAATAACAATCAGAAAACTATATAAGTGAATTTCTTTCTTTTCTAGCACCACTAACAGATAAACCACCAAAGCTTTTACACCCCTTGGAGAGTAAGCTCACAGTTCAGGAAACCCAGCTGGGTAAGTAGCAAGCACATAATTTCTACTCAAATTGTATGAAAGGATTTGATGTGTTAATGTATGATGACAAAGTGACGGTATGTTTGCATTAATAATCTCATTGAAAAGGCATTAAACATACTCTGTTTCCATTCAGAAAGGTATCATATACCATGTAGAAGATTGCTGTTCACAAAAAAAATGGTAGTAATTAATACTGAATATTAGTTCTTGCATATAACTGATACTGGGTTTTACCTTTGCTAAAAGTCTATAGTTATAAGTGTACCTGAGCTTTTCTTTCTAGACTCCCTCTTTTATGTGTATTTATATATAATTACTGTGGGATTCAGTGGAATTTTGTGGTTTAAATGCTGCTTGCAAGACTTCGTTGCTTTGGTGATTACTTATGGAATTGCAAAGATGTTCTGTAATTATAAATGTTGTGCTGGTCTAAAACCATCCAACTAACAGTGAGAAGTTAACATAATAGCATCTGATTATTCTGAATGTACAATTATATATGTAAAGATATATATGGAGAGAGACTGAGGCATGAAGAAACCATTTTGTTTCACTTTTCCTAGCCTTGTGGGTGGTGGGTATGTTTTGTCACTTTGGTCTCCTACTGCTGTACAGGTAATTAAGGTTCCAATGCTAAGTGCATGAGTTACTACAGTTTTCAGGATATTGCAATGCATCCCCTTTGTGGATTGACACAGAGGGCAACCCATAAGAAACAAACAGTCCTCAGTAGGTTACACTGGAATTATGCTTTGGTGTCAGAACAGTAACCTATTGATAGATCTTCTATCATGTTAGCTACAGAAACAAATGGAAACAAATCTGGTGGTTGCCTAAATCTCATAGAAAAAAAAAAAAAAAGTAAAGGAAGCAAAACTCAATACATTCTGCAGCATACCACCAGAAAAAACAGAAGGCTTGCAAATTAATTCTGACAGTCATTGGCAGAACATTTTATAGTGCTTGCTAGCCTGTACCTAATAGTGGCCAGAGAATAATTCATCTGTGTTTTGATATTCTTAAAGTATTACTTAAAATTATTCATGCTATTCAGGTAACTTTCTCATATGCTGATATACATGGTTTTAGAAACAATTATATAGAAAAGGGGAGATGTAATATATTTCCTTCTAGAGCTAATTTCTGTTGTTCTGAAGTATTGTTTCTGATAGACCAGCTCAGAAAACTTTTCCTATATGACAATCCTAAATGATTTTACCTTTTCATTTCAACACAAGCCTAGGGAACAGAAAGCAAGGTGACTCTACACATTTTTTTCCTAATTAATGTTGCTTACTGAGATATTTTTGGTGAAAAATCCAAAAGGCAGAACCTTTTTGGGCTTTGACATTTTCTTGCTAAAATATACTGTATGGGCGACACTATTTCAATAGGAGTGTAATTATTAATGGCTAGCTAGAGGCTTTTTATCTATGATTTTTAGAATGAATCATATCTTTGATTTCTCATAGTTCTAAGAAACAGATTAAATAATTTGAAAAGTGCTGGGTTTGGGAAAGACACTTTTCAGAAAACTAAATAGCTATCAAAAGACTTAGTTTGAAAATGTCACTTTCAGCCACAGATGGGAAAGTCTGACCATAAATAAATGTGAAGCTCTAATACTTAGTCTTATATCAAGAAGCTCCATGAATTTATTATTTTGTTGTTTAAAAACCTGTGAAAAAATTACACATTAAGAACTAAGCCTGACACAAAAATCACATGGTTCCACTCTAAGATTTAATGTCTTGGTCCTGCTGGATAATGCTTGAAAGGTCTATGTTTCATTTTCACTGAAGAAAGCTAGCATTCATTTCAGGAGGCCAGTTCATATCCTTCAAGAAATGCAAAATATTTTAACATTGGAATAATCTCAAGTTTCAATTAGCCAAACCTTAGACAGTTAGCTAATCCAGCAACCTCCTACCCACATGAGGCGTGGGGTGACCACATGTTGCAGACTGGTCTAGACACTACCAGAAAGCGTGCTAGTCCTCTAGAATGTGTTTGGGACAGTGTGTTTGTCCCTTATTTGAAAAATAAATATGTTGGTGGAAGAGGAAGAAGTGGAATGGGTGGCACAGAAAAGGGAGACCAAGGAACTAGAAGCCTGAGGTAGTCTCGGATTTTGTTAGCAGGTCAGTGAGGTGGGGAGCTGGGCCAATCCTCGATCTCCCCGCCCCCCCCCAGTTCTGTGCTTCTCACCTTGCAGTCCTCCACCTTGAGTTGGAAATGAAGCAGGCTGCAAATGTCAGGGCATGCCTTGGGATGTGCGTACATAATTTACAGGGGGGTGTGTGCTTCTGCAAGTGCACATGGTGTGCTGAAACATTGATAGCGATGGTTCACCTCGAAACCTTCCCCTGCTGGCAGGCCTCTGGGGAGTGGTGCTGGGCACACTTTTGAGGAAGCCCTCAGTAACCCCAGTGTGTTTGCTGCTGAAGGAGGTGCTGGAGTTCAGTTCTTAAACAGGGCACCTCCATGCAGTATCTAAATCCAGGTAGGAAGACTCCAGGCATATCTCATTGATTTGGCTCCAGCACTGCTAACTGACAGAGCTATCTGACTTTTATTGCTGAGATATATTGGTTGCTTCTATATTTCTACACACCAGCAATTAAAATTAATGTCATGGGACCACAGACCTGTTGTATTATTGTGTTGCATGGCTTCCATAAAACAACATCAGACCAAAAGGTGAGTGCACATTAAGGAAGGAGCTTCTCTAAGGGGTGACTGATGGAGTCTTATGGCATAAGTTAGCAACTGCTGTTTGACTTGCTAAACCAAAAAAAAAAACAGAGCTGTAGAATTTGCACTCCTCAGTCCTCTGAACCTATAGGCTCCCGTCATGCTCAAGCTGTCTACAGTTGTTGGTGGGAAAGGTGTCCTGCTATTCACCTGATGTTTGGGAGAGTGTTAAGCATGGCTGCACTGCAATTGGCAACCTTAGAGTGTCACAGGAATCTTGAGACCTAACCTGAAATATCTTTTTATCACACTGAATAGTAACCAGAAAAGCACAAGACAGAAAGACACACAGGCTAGAAATTGAAGGAGAAAGTAATTTCTCAAAGGCTTTTCTTAAAAGACAGCAAGAGACAGCCAAAGCATGAAGCAGAGAAATCCTAGATGAGGAAAGAAAGATTAGGTTCCAGCTTATGCTGCTCTGCATTTAATGTTTTTTGTTTGCCATTTCACTTCCAGTTTTCTAATCAATAACTTAATCCTGTTGCAAGGGTAAAAATACTGTTTTCTTTTTAAGCTTTCCTCCTGTTGAAAGGGTTCTTAGGTAGCTGTGGTCACCTCAATATAAACTGCTTCTCTGGAAACAATGGGCCCAGATAAAATACTATATCAAACACAGCCTTCAAAAGTATGCAGCAACTTGCAGCTATAAAGCGATTAAGAGTGTTTTGCACTCAGCTCTGAGCCAATCTGAGGGCTGGCATCAGCATATGCCAGGGAAGGGAGAAAAGCTGGCAACAAGTGGCTGGCAAGGGGAGGCAAGGCACAGGTAATGATGAACAACATAATGACCCAAGGAACTTCATCCCACGGTATTCTTCCTCTTACCCTCAGCATTCTAACAAAATCAAACGAACAAATCCCTGCTAACATAAAAACCCAATAATAATAAAAATACAAAACTTTCAGTTCAGACCTGTGAAGAAAGGAATTAATTAATATTGTTTCTTGCACATGAAAAATCCTAACGTTTCAGATAATTGTATTTTTAACACTAGATTAATGTAGATGTTACGGATTTATGATATAAATATCATATCCATGATGTATATTTATATTGAAATTATATTATATTTTTCTATATTGGTAAATTCTGAGTCTTTTCAGTTTCACCTGTCTTTCAGATAACATTGTTTTTCCCACCAGAACTTTCAAATATCTGTCCTCCTCAAGGAACAGGAAGAATAATTTTAGTCTGACTCAAGAAAATCTGATTTTAGCATCCAGTTTGTCTATCTTCATGTTACTAAAGAAGAAAGTGTGTCTCCACAACAGGCAATAATGGATCAGAATTTTAAAAAAACAAAACAAAACAAAACAAAAAAACAGAACTCAATAATTATTTTAAATACCTCACAAACTAGTTAGCTTGTGTCCTCCCTATTTTTCAGTGTTTTTTCTGGTTCTGCACAAGGTTGTAATTTGAAATTCCAAAATTCACCTAGAAAAATAAAGCAATTGTTGAATTATTTTTAGCTAGGCTTGATGTTAGAGAAAAGGGGAAAAAAAAAAAAAAGAATAAAATTTTTTGAGCACTGTATGAATGGACCAAAAAGATAAGTTTGGACAGGCACTTAAACACTTTCTCTGTCATCTGAATGAAATGAGTTTTCCTGAATTTCATGCAACACTAGAAAATTACTCTTGTGACCAAGTATGCAGTGAATGTTTTTTTCCTATTTGTTTTTAGGACATTATTTCAATAACATTAAATTGACTATTACCTAGTGAATTGGGGCTTGCTTCTTTCTCCCCCTTCCCCACACATATTCAAGAAAAAAAAGTCACTAAAACTGCTTTTAATGTATTATTTCCAAAGTAAGAATAAAAATAAGTGCCAGTGGTAAATCATCAGGGAGAGGAGAATGCTACTTCATTTATAGCACTGTTGTGCTATATGTAGTGTTGTCATAAAAACCTTCCACAGATTGGCCCTGTAAATGATAAAACCCCTCCTTAACTAGCTTAATCAGTAGCTGTATAAATAAATTAACTAACTAAAGTGTTATGAAATAACTAGCAATCTGTTCTTCCTTTCAGGATGAAAATTAAAATGAAAAAATATCTGAAATTATTCATTTTTATCTATCTCTACACATTTCCTCTAAATGCTATATTCACTCTGTAATAGTAGCAGACTTTTTCTTCATTATAATAGCATTTTTAAGTTATCTGTTAGTTTACGCCAACATTCTTTAAACCAAATTGATCTTTTTTCAGTCGTGATTCAGTTGGACACTGGTACT